TTGTGGGATCGATTATCACGAGTGATGATGTTCTAATTTCTCATCAAATTTGACTCACAAGAACACCCAAGGTGTGTCATAAAAGCGTGTGTACAAAAGCTGTGCATGCATGCACACACACGAGGATAAAATACAGATAGTGATTTTCCAAGCATAGCTTATATGTGGCACAAAGCCGAAAGTAGGGGGCACCCAGTGAGGATCGAACTCACTGCTCAGTTGTAATTGTTCTAGCAAGATAAACTTGCTAACCATTACACCGCCTCGATGTGCCCGGATAAAATACAGATATCTTTCCTGAGGTGTTTATACATTGTTCAATTAATAATGTTAACAGCTATTTTGAATTACAAAATTATACTTTGATTAAACAAAAATTACTTACAATGCATATTACTTATAATACATTCCTTCTTGCTGCTGATTTTGACAGCACAGGTACACTAGTTGTATTATAATTCTGCTTGTCCCTCCCTTAATTTGCACGACCGATATGCCCTGCCAATATCTCATAAATAACAGACTATTTTGATTGCCATGAAAAGACAGAAAAAATATATCAGAGACACTAGTTGGTTTCTGTGAGAAAATAAAAGAAAGTAGGGAAGATAGAAATGTTTAATGTCTCCTGCCAATAACTTATAAATAATGGACTATTCCGTTTTGATCATGTGGAAAGATGAAAAAGACGTATCAGAGACATTACTTAGTTTCAACAAGGAAATGAAAGCAACAAGGAAAGATAGAAGTGTTTAACATCTGTTTGAATAAAATGAAAAAGTTGTCAATTCTGAAATCTTTTCATTAGTACCCCTCTCCTTACTTCTTGAAACAACCAATATACTGATTGTTATTTCAATATTTTGTTAAAGTTGATAAGCTCAAATATTTAACAATGCAATAGGGGAATTTTTATGGATATTTTGTTGTCGTAGAACTCACCATGAGCTTATTCAAGCATTAACTTAAGAATTAAGATTCATCAGAAAATTCAAATAGGAAAACTGTGAAATCCTCACAAGTATTTCTACTTATGAATAGTTTGCCTACAATTAGCACAGAACATCTAAAGCACTTTGCAATGTCTCCCCCCATAAAGAAGAAAACCTACCCTAATTTTAGGATGATAAACATTTCTAGGCAAAATCTACACATATCAAACTTCATAATGGAAAGGAGAAGATGCAACTGGGATCTCCAGATATAAAAATTAAAATTTAAGTATTTACAAGAAAAAAGAAATAAAACTTTTATTACACTAATATTCTAATTGATTTGAATAGAAATCAAGATCATTTTTTTTCTGAAACTTCAACATTTCAGTATCAAGTGTTGTGATAGAAGAGAAATATTTTGCCCTTATCACTCAGTACTTAAAGGCTTAGTAAACATTTATGTTATAGAATATCAATGATGCAGATATAATGACAGTCTTCAAAAATACATTTTTATATGCTATAAAATACAATCATTTATCCAACCAATTTGTTATTCTATTATCCTTATACATGAGGCACATGAAACATTTTTTCTTGTTATTAGAAAGAAAAAAAAAAAAAAGGTTTGACTGACATACAATCACCATTTAAACATTAATTATTATATATACCATGTGACTTTTAAAGACCTAATTTTGAAGCTAATTTGACTACTCTACATGGATATATAGTTTGGTCAACACTGTAAACAGGACCATACATACACTAATATATCTCATGTATGATGCAACCCCCTTAAAATTAGCTTCAAAATTAGTTCTTCAATAGTCACATGATATGCGAGTATATACGGTAAATAAAAATGAAAAAAAAATTATTTAAACAAGAAATAAATAAAAAAACAGAATACATCTATAATTTTCAAAAACTTTGGAACCCCCCCCCCCAGAATATTCAAGAAAAAATTAACCTAAAAATACATCCTGTCTCTGACACCAGAAATAATAATATGTTATCTCTGACACTCAGAGCTGAAAGATAGAAAAAAGAAAGAAAAGGAATAATGAGAGAGTATAAAGGAGACAAGGAAATTATTAAAAGAAAGAATAGCCATGAGATTCTGCACATCTGTATATACACACACATTTACAAGTGTTTACACACATACATAAAGAAAAAAAAAAAGAAATCAACCTAACACCAATAAAAAGCACATAAATTACTTTTTTTTAACTTAATGTAAAAAGTTAAAAAATTGTGAAAAATCAGCAGGCTGATACACTCTGATGCATGGACTGAACATTTACACAATTGCTCATCTATGAAACTCTGGAGTAGGACTGCTGAATATAACATCAATCTGCTAAGTTACAAATTTTATATTTGTATTAATCCTATATATATATTACAAATAAATGAAATTCACAAATAACCCAACTGAATGGCCATTTCACTCCACCTGAGCTGTCAGCGGAGCGTAATGGCCATTCAGATTGAGTATTTGAGAATTTCATTTATTTGTAATTTATTTATATAATGCTATGTAATAAATACATTGAGCTCTGTTTGTGGGTCAGTTTTAATATTTTATATTATTAGGATTCACTTGGATTACTTACCCATGAATTTTTTACCTATATATATATATATATATATATATATATATATATATATATATATATATATATATATATGTGTGTGTATATATATATATATATATATATATGTGTGTGTGTGTGTGTATATATATATATATATATATATATAATATATATTAATAAACAATTTTGTATTTTATTGTTTATTAATTATTTGCTCTGTAATAATACATTGTGCTCTTTTTGTGGATCAGTTTTTATATATTATATTACTAGGATTCACTTGGATTATATACCAATGGATGTGTTATATATATATATATATATATAAAAATACCGAAGAAGATACTAATCGTTCATTACAAAAATATTTGTAGAAAGCACAATTTATAGTAAGTGAAGGCTGTGAAGAAAAACAAAGCAGTGTTGTTTAACAATAAAAACAAATTTTACATTCCAAATACTGAATTACTTCCCTTAGATTTATCACCTTTTTTTTTTTTTTGTTTTTTTTGCATCAGAATTTAAACAGGGACATTTTTCCAAACTTTTCTAAGTTTGTAATTCTCAAATAACCTCTTATAGAAATTCAAACATAGTTACTATAATCTTTTATGTGCCACATCCCTTCAAGATAGGGGCAATTATGGCTCTCCAAAACTTCCTATCCATTGTGGACTTTATCAGGTTTTCTCCCTTTGCTAAAGCTCCCAACACCATCCATCCATCTACACAATCTCAACATTTGCTTTCCCACTCTCTTGCCCTCAATATACTGTAAGGGTTAAGCTTCCAAAATCTTCTTTCCCCGTTTGTGTCCAAAGGATTTCAACTGTCTCTTCCTGATTCTGTGTCCTTTTTGTTGCCATTTTCTGTAAAACTTCCTCACTCTAATTTCCCTCAGCATTCTTCATTACTCATATGTTCAATGAAATTCTCACCATTCTTCTGCAGAACCCCATTTCTGTTGACTCCAGTTTTTTCATCCATGGGAAGATTGTCCAGCATTCATCGCATATCAGAGGATATCACATAGCAATCCAGTGCTCTTTTTTTTTTAAAAAAAAAAAAAAAAAAAAAAAAAAAAAGTGCTTCTCAGCACTTTCCTTAGCTTTTGGAATGCCTCATTTGCTAGTCCAATACATGTTCAAATTTTGGAATCTCATTTTACATCCTCTTTTAAAATACTTCTCAGTAAACTTGCTCGATATTGACATCTCCATTTCCAAACTCACATCTTGGATCTTTTATCTTGCTGATGAGCGTTACTTTCAGTCTTTTTACAGTTGATGGTTAGTCCTTTTATTCTCACTTTCTTTTACTATCTAGTCTTGAAGGTTCTGTAGTTTTCTTCTAAAGTACCGTCTGACCATTTCCAGATATTCATTATTTGGTTGATATGAGATAATTGTTAATTATTGTGTTGTCTCCGAGATGCCAGTTATTGATTGTTTCTGATGTATAATGAACTAATGTTACTGCCTTTTGGATGTATTTTTTCATTTTATTTAGTAAGTCAGTTTTTAAATCCAATGTAGATAAGTCAGAATTTGTAAAACAAAATGGTCAAAGTCTTATTTTGTCAAAAATGTTGAATTACATTTCTTCTCTGTCTATATTTCTGAGATGAGGTATTGTAATAATTTACACTATTTACATTGTTCAGACTGCTGTCCTCATCTTTGTTGCCATATTCACAACATTTTGACCATTGCATGCTCCAGCCTTGTTTGGGTGATTGGAATTTCAAACCGAACTAAGAATTTTGTCCACTGGGATAGATTGTTCCAGTTCCACACCTTTTCTGGATCTCAATATCGGTTATCTCCCTTTAACTCAACACTCCAAGTTTTTTTGTTTTTTTTTCACCTTTGGGTCAAGTCACAGGATTCAACCAATGCTTTTATCCACTTTGCTATGTGTCCTTGAAGTTGGTTGAATCCAGTGACTTGACACAAAGAGTTCAATACCTAGCTACAGGTGAGGTGAACAAAATAAAGGGTTCAGTTCAAAATTCTGATCACCTGAAGAAGGCCAGACTGTACAATGGCCAAAATGTTGTGAATATGACAACAAAGATGAGGACAGCAGTCTGAACAATGTAAATAGTGTAAATAATTACATTTCTTCTATTTATGGGAAAAAATGTATGATCAGGATATGAGACTGGTTAGAGAAATCTAAGAGATCAATTCAATGAATTTGGAATACAAAATTTGTTTTGGACAAGTGACAATATCAAAAAAAAAAAAATATTTGTATTTTAATTCATAAGAATCTTGTTTATATTTTATCAATACAGAATTAAAAGAAAAAAGAAAGAAAATTCTACGAAGACGTGAATTTAAAAACAAAATCAACTTTAATGGTTTTATATTGTTTGTACAGCTACAATAAGAAATATTTTCTGCTTAGCAGAAAGGAAGCAAAACACCCATCCATACACACAAAAATCCCTAAGAACTCAAGATGAGGTCTCAACTTTTACTTTCTTGATTGGCTCCAAAACATAATCGCTGGGCCTGAAATGAAAGTAATTGTATAAAAATAAATGTCAAATTCTGTTAACTTCAATAATAATACAAAAAAAAAAAAAAAAAAAAAAAGAAAGAAAGAAAGAGAGAGAGAGAGATGCATTGAATATCAATATAAGATTGTCAGTGGTTAGGAATTTACAAGAAAACAACTATTCTATGAGTGAGTGCTGGAAAATTCTTGGCCTGACCAAGAAAGCCTTCCAAATAAAAATAATAAAAATCGTCATAAGGTCAAATTTTGGGAATTGGTTTGGACAAAAAAAAACATTACAGTACCAACCATAAGGAAATACTAAAAAAAAAAAAGTTTTTCTCCTTTAATTGAATGAGACTTACTTAAGATAAAAGGTTGAATAAAAATTAATAAACAAAAAAATAAAATCACAAAGAAATTTCAAGTGTCTGAAAAGTTACAACTGATTAAAAATTACCAATTTGCCAAACAATAGAGAGCAAGTGAATTTGGCACTACAGAAATAACATAGAAACTAAACTCTTTAAAGAATTCTGTGACTGAAAAAGATACCATAAATAGCTTTATCTTCTTCTTTTCAAGTTCTATCTTAATGAAGACAAAGGAAAGATATGCAAAAATAACCTAAAAGGCTTAAATTCAAACTGTAAATGGCTTTCTACTATAATGTCAATGCCACTTTCACCCACCCCCACAAAATCAAACATTTTCCTATTGTCTTTTAAATTCTGCAGTTTGTAATATAAAAAGCACACTGCATCTGTTGTGACATTTTGAATAATCTCTTCTCAAATTTACCATACTGAATGCCATTAAAACGCCATATGATCATTTTAAGACAATAGTAACCAACTAAAAGAAATACTGTTATTGACTTTTATCTTATCAATGAGATACCAAACATTTCAAACAAAACTATCTATTGCCTCATGGCCTGTGATTTGAGGCCACCAACACAAGCAGCAACAGAAAGAAAAAGAAAAAAAATGCAACAATAACATTTACTCAATTTCATTAATTAGAATACATCACTTAGCATCCTCCATAATTTATCTTGACATTCAGTTAATCTGATGTATATTTAGAAATATTCTCAATTTAAAAATTCTGAAAAAACAACATTTTTTGCTTGTTTATAAATACTTGCATCAGCTAAGAAAAATGTTCCTTTTGTCTTTATTATATATATATATATATATATGCGTGTGTGTCCCATCCAAAAGTATTGGAATGGAAAGGCCAATTCCTTTGTTTTTGTTGTTCACTGTAGACATTCGGGTCTAAGTTCAAAAGATGGTTTTCATACTGACACCAAATTACTCTGTGTGTGTGTGTGTGTGTGTGTGTGTGTGTGAGAGAGATCAAATATGAATTGGAATCCAATAGGATTTTAAAATAAAAGAGCAAATAGGAAACATATCAATCTAATATGTTTCACTTTTATTAAAACTTCATCAGAGATTGAGAGAAAACAGACAAAAAACATAAACACTGGTATTTTCAATTATTTTTGGGTCAGTCTCATTGGTCAGACATATGTGTCACGTGTATTAAAACCATAGATAATTCTGTGTGTATGTCGGTTTATGATGCTTAAATGGACATCAGATAGTAATGTGTATTTGTAACTGTGTATGTGTGTCTGTCTAGTGGGAGTTCCATCTTCATGTCAACTCATGCAGCAGGGAGTCACAAGGTTCTAATTTATGGCTGACCTCTTTAAGAATGTATTCTTTGTATTACATAGATATAAGTTAGAGTGTTTAAGAATGGATTCAAAGAAAGATGGCAACATAATGTAATGTTTTAGGTATGTGTTTATAGTTGATAATAATATTATTTAGTTTTCAACATACTTTCTCTTTAAAGAATTATGTTCTTTTTTAATTAGGCTGGCATTAGTGTAATCAAAGTCATGTCCAGCATCATTTCAATGCAAAACAAGAGAGATCATTTGTCCAAATGCAAGTCTCTCTTGTCTTTGCAGATACAGGCTTTTAAATCATGTGATATCTCCAACATAAATATTTTTCCATTGTAAACAATTTATTTGATAAATCCCATGATTTGAATTAGTGTTGAGTTTATTTTTCTTCCTAATTATATATCCAGTTGTCTTGGAGATGGTGGTAACAATCCTAGTATTAGAAATGACTAATTTGATTGTGAGTTTAGTAGAAAGAGGGTTGGAGAACAGGATTATGAATTTTGTGTAATTTTTGTTAAAAGTTTTATGGGTGGTGTCTCTTATTTTGGCGTTGTGGATTTTGCAAGTTCAATTTTTGTGTTGAGTATAAAATGATGTGGGTAGTGGAGAAGTTTGAAAGTTTTCTCAATATATTTCTCTTCTTCATTTGGGTATTCTGGGGTAAAATCCTATGATTAGCCCAGATTTTATTTTTGCTTGTGGTGGGAATAGAAGTTGATTAAATCGTTTTTGTTTGTGGGTCTACAATATACTTTAAAATCTAATTTCTTATTTTTGCATATTAATAAGATGTTGAGAAAAAGGAGAGAATTGTTTATTTCAAATTTGTGTGTGAATTCAATGGTAGGCTCAATCCTTATTGAGTTTTATTATTATGTCTAATAGGTTTGTATCTTGGAGATATAATAAGAGGACATCGACTATATATCTTAGGCAAGTAGAGATGTTTGGTATGATGTTTAAATGGACCAGATTCTAAGAATTCTAGAAAAAGGCAAGTGAAATCACCACTGATAGGTGACTCCATAGGTAAGCCAAATTTTTGCTTGTAGAGAATATTGTTGAAAGAGAAGCAACAGTGGTTAGTGATTAGTTTGCATATTTTTATAATTTTGTGAATGAGTAAAAGAATCTTTTCTTTGGACTTTTTGAGATGGTTTTTCAATGTTGAGGCATTTTGTGATGGGTATGTTGGTGTATGATGATTTAATTTCAAAGCTCGCCATAACCAGGTTTTCCATATTTACATTTCATATTCTCTAGATTAAGTCACCAGAGTGTTTGATAGGTGTTGTGTTGATGATTCCTAACCACTGCTTCTTCCCTTTCAACAATATTCTCTACAAGCAAAAGTTTTGTTTATCTATGGGGTTACCTATCTACCTTGAATGGCTCTTGGACCTTGTATTAGATGAACATTTCTGAATGGCTCTTGTTTTGTATTAGGTGAACATTTCAAAGGCAAGCATAGAGGGCAAAAAAAGTACATTTCCCCATTTCAAGAATATGTAATTACACAATCCTTGCAAAGTTGAAAGGTGAAAAAAAAATATTTGTTTCAAAGTGAAATTTGATGATTGCAAATTTTATAAATACACATGTCATACACCAAATAACAAAATATGCGAGCTTTCATAGTAAACAGATTTTGGTCTTGTTAGTGTGCTGCTCAATCAGGTAGAAAGACAGAGAAGTTAAACAAACTAGATGACGTTAAAACAAAAAAAGCAGTAGATGTGTCAGATAGAGATGTAAGGAACTGAAGACTAAGAGTTAAAGTGGAAGTATTTAAATATAGTGGTCCGATTAAAAAAAAAAAAAAATAGGGAAGTCTTTTTAGAAATATTTTTTTTAGAGTTTAGGATTCTTTAATCCTGCTAAATATTACATTCATAGCAATAAGAAATAATGCCAGATTACAAATAAAATCCATTAATTCCATAAAAATTACTTTGTTTTAAATACAAAAAAAAAAAAAACGATATGGGCTTTGGAAGGTCTCAATGTGCATTTCTTAAAAAGAGTAACTATGTAGCCAAGTAGTTTGAAGCACATCTGGAGCAAATAAAGAGAGACGTTCAAACACTGAAATTTTCTGTATTGACTTGAATACGCAGTTTAGTAGAAATTGAATTACACTAGGTACCTCTACTTTTTCACTAAAAGAGCATACCATGATGAAAAAGGCCCCAAACCTGATTGAAACAAAGTTTTATCATCACAATCTTTGTTGTTATTAAGGGGAAAGACCAAATTATTTGAAAATTCTTGCAAAAATCAAATAACTGTTGGATTTTAATTAAATTTTTAGGACTTATTTGCAAATGAATGAAATTATTTTTTAAATATTTTTTTTTTTTTTTTACATCTGTTACCTCCATTCATTTAACTTTATGAAATTTCAAAAAATTAAAATTTCAGGAACTTATATTAATGAAACGCAAGATTTCTTGGAGAATTAAAATCATAAATTTGTTTTTGTCAAACAGAAACACCATTTTCTGAAAATCTGCTCTGAATCATAAAATAAAAAATGCAATAAAACTATGACATTATTTAATTAGAAAAGTTCTTAATTGCTTTTATAAAGATATTCAGGACACTATTGTTTTTAAAAAAAAATTTCAATAAATAATGAATTTTTACAAGAATTGTTTTCATTTTTTTAAATTTTAATTAGAAAAATTTACTAAGTCTTAAATTTTTTAAAATTCTGTATTAATTTCAGCCTTTTAGATGATATTAGTAAGTGAAAACTATGTTTACTAATCATGAATGGAAAAGATTAATACAAATCATCAAACACCAATATTTCTAAAGGAATTCTGAATTTTTTGTTGTACATAAACATACCTATCTTTGTAAGAATGAACAACCTTACACAACACTATCAGAAAATAAGATCGGTGAATATAGTAAATTTAAAGTCACCATTTCTAAAATTTCATAAAAAATTAGATTACAGAGAATATTTTCCTAAATTTTTAAGATTACTGAATACTTAAAAATTATATAAAAAATGCACTCGCATCATTATGTTCTACAGATAAAGTCTCCATAGAAAAACATTAGACTTGTTATCAGGCTGACAAAACATCAAATCAGCCACTGTCAGGTTAAAAATGTTTTCTGCGATATTTTCAACTTAAAGTAAATAATATTTGTTTCAAATCAGATTAATTATACTTTAAATCAGTTAATATTCTTCAAATAAAGTTTCAGAAAAGAATATTTTATTTTTGCAAGATTTTTAAAACCAAAGAACTAACTTGTATTTACAAATGTCTCAAAAATGGATGACTT